ATGATAGCAGAGAAGCTTTGGAATAAAAACTTTTATACCTGGCGTTTTGGCTTTGCCTTTGGCTTTGACAAAATCAGTTGCTCCTGAGTCCTGACAACGACAGGTTCATGTTCAGTTCCGATCAAAAACATATAAAAATGAATCTGTTTTGATTTAACATCGTTTTTCTACTAAAAGGACAATGTAAAAGGTATGTTGTTTTTATATTTCTTCTCGTCTCAGGATAATATGCTTGAAAAAAGTGTTTTTAAACACAAACTTTTACTTTGTTTACAATATTTATATCAGTGAAAAATGCATGACACAAATGGGTAGAGAATATATTCGTAACTTGTTTTTACTGCTGCAGTTAAACCTTCTTTTAAATGGGAAAACATTTATTTTACAATTTCTGTTTAAGCTGTAATTTTTTCGATTTTAAGTGGCCGAATACATGAGCATTTAAAAAATATGTAGTTTTCTCGACGTAAGTTTTATTCATGTCAAATATAAACTTTCCGTCTTTCAGTCACATTTCTATCAAAATATTGTCAATTCTGGTGAACATCGTGCTTAGTATGAAGTCTTTATGGCTTGATGCAATTCATTTTTGTATTCTGACTATCGTTAGGCTATGTTTTTCAAACGTTTTTGGCAGATTTTTTCGTTTAAAAATTGTTTCACTCCTCGGTTTTTGGCGCGAAATCCAGAGCGGGCAGTTGCATTTCACAGCGGGCAGTTGCGTTTCAGAGCGGGCCGGATGCAAAAAACCGGCCCGCTCTGAAAGGCTCTCAGCCAATCACATTGCTTCATTTTCACTGATAAAAAATAATGTAACATAAGTAGACAAGTTTAGATCTAATTGATACTATTTTGTAATTATATATAGTATTATTATGATGTATATATACAACGAAACGTCAGCAATAAATTTTATTCCTTTTTGTTATGTCTTGTTTGAAAGTCATGTATGGTTTTAATATTTATCTTTAAATTGCGCTTTTCCGCCTGGTGTGTCAATCTATTTCACTACCTAAGCTAGAAAATGCTTGCATGTAGCCTAACATTCAGTATCAAGCGGATTTTCAGTCTCCATACAAAAGATTTCTTCGTGTGCTGCAAGCTGAAACTAATTTGCCGAATAGTTATTAATATTTACGTACTCTATTTAAATACTAAATAGTACTAAATCATTTTCATTTTATGTATATTGCATTTGAACTTACCCGCTACTGCACGTGAGAATTGGCTGATTTCTTTCATATAAACTTCATTATACGCTTGAGAGAAGCCACTAAATGACACCCAGCTATGATTTCTATTTAAATAGAAAATTGCAATACAACATTACTAATTGATACAATTTTAAAGTCTTGTTAAAACGAGCAGCCCAATGGTGTTGAAGTCAAATGATCTTACCCAAGAGAAGGTATCCACTCGTACAATGCTGCATCAACATAATTCGCATTACTGGCTTCCACTCTCCAGTTTTATCTCTTATGGAGCAAATTCCGTACTGAACATCACACTCGCGACAACGAAGTCTCAATTTGGTGCAGGGTATCGGTCCGCTCAGCGTGAACAATGTTGCCTTATTTGGCTTGTTGTTGGTTGACAATGGCTTTCGACAATAAAGGCAGAGGTCAACAGGAGGCGTCATCATGCAGTTGAAATTAAAAGATTCTTCTTCGGTGGCTTTCCAAAGAACATCTTCGAAATCTTTTTCGTATTTTGAACATAACGTAGGGCATCTTGCCTCTACTAATGTTACGTAAACTCGCAGATCTTCTACCACAATTACAAAACCTGCATGCCTTCCTCATAATGGTGCCGATCGCATATAGTCTAAAATTTCCACATTCATCATGACCTGCCTGACTATATCGTGAAGGAACGTGCTTAATTGCCATTGCTAGCGTCATTAATCCCTTTGTCGTCAGCTTAGTTGATAGTATAAATATCATGGTCTCCTCAGCAATCTCATTTTTTTCCTCGAGCAATTGAGACAAACGCAGATTTTTGGCACTTACAAAATTTGCGATCTTGTTGATATTTTCCCTCGCCTCGGCCTTTGATGCCAACCGGGCAAGAAATGCTTCTCGCGAAAACATGTCCGAACCACGTCGACGCTTCGACATTTCTTTTAAAATTGTATTTAAACCTGTGCTTTGCCTTTGAACTCGTGATCGGCATACATTACTATTTTTTAGACACTATCCAATTTCCGTCCGAAATTTTCTTACAGGAAGTGTCATATTACTCATCGCAGTGGATTATGATATCGCCATATCACCTGACAATTTTTTCTTTATAATATATCGCAGTATATAAATTGTAATGACACCATAAACAGCATCTTATTATTAAACGCCGATATTGCGCGCTTGGTCGATTCACAATCAAGACAGGCAAAATTTCACGTCTATCTGAAACTAGTTGGCCGTGAAGGATACAATCTGCGGCAGTGCGGGCTTGGGCGCATAAATACATACATACTGATACTCAACATTAAGGAAATTTTATAGCAGGTGTAGAATATGTTTTCAGATTTTGTTTTGTACTATTCCCATTGCCTAATACCCTATTACCTTGGTCACTTTGCCTACATAGCTAGTTTCAATGCTTATTACCTTATTACGCGTAATAAGAGCAAAATGGCTTAACTAACGGTCTTAAAACAGGCATCATTTGGAGAAAAATGTTTCTCGCGGTGAGGACAAGGTTTCTGGCGGTGAGAACAAGGTTCCTGGCGGTGATGACAAGGTTCCTGGCGGGGGACGCCGAGGTTGCTGGCGGTGAAGACAAAGTTCCTGGTGGTAAGGACAAGATTCTTGGCGGTGAGGACAAGGTTTCTGGCGGCGAGGACAAGGTTCCTTGCGGTGAGGACAAGGTTCCTGGCGGTGAGCACAAGGTTTTTGGCCGTGAAAAAAGTTCCTGACGCTGAGGACAAGGTTCCTGGCGGTGATGACAAGGTTCCTGGCGGTGAAGACAAGGTTACTGGCTGTGAAAAAAGTTCCTGACACTCAGGACAAGGTTCCTACCGGTGAGGACAAGGTTCCTGGCGGTGAGGACAAGGTTCCTGGAGGCGAGTACAAGGTTCCTGGCGGTGAGGACAAGATTCCTGGCGGTGAGGACAAGGTTCCTGGCGTTGAGGACAAGGTTCTTGGCGTTGACGACAAGGTTCCTGGCGGCGAGGACAAGGTTTCTGGTGGTGAGGACAAGGTTCCTGGCGGTGAGGACAAGGTTTCTGGCTGTGAAAAATGTTCCTGACACTGAGGACAAGGTTCCTACCGGTGAGGACAAGGTTCCTGCCAGTGAAGGCAAGGTTCCTGGCGGTGAGGTCAAGGTTCCTGGCGGAGAGGACAGGGTTCCTGGAGGTGAGCTCAAGGTTCCTGCCGGTAAGGACAAGGTTCCTGCCGGTGAGGGGAAGTTTCCTGGTGGTGAGGACAAGGTTCCTGGCGGTGAGGTTAAGGTTCCTGGCGGTGAGGACAAGGTTGCTGGCGGTCAGGACAAGGTTTCTGGCGGTCAGCACAAGGTTGCTGGCTGTGAGGACAAGGCTTCTGGCGGTGAGGACAATGTTCTTGGCGGTGAGAACAAGGTTCCTGCCTGTAATGACAAGCCTCCTGGCGGTGAGGACAAGGTTCCTGGCGGTGAGGACAAGGTTCCTGGCGTTGAGGACAACGTTCACGGCGGTGAGGACAAGATTTCTGGCTGTGAAAAAAGTTCCTGACGCTGAGTACAAGGCTCCTACCGGTGAGGACAAGGTTCCTGCCAGTGAGGACAAGATTCCTGGCGGTGAGGACAAGGTTCCTGACGGCGAGGACAAGGTTGCTGGCGGAGAGCACAAGGTTTCTGGCGGTGAGCACAAGGTTGCTGCCGGTGGGGACAAGGTTCCTGGCGGCGAGGACAAGGTTCTTGGCGGTGAGTCCAAGGTTCCTGGCGGTGAGGATAACGCTCCAGGCGGTGAGAAAAAGGTTCCTGGCGGTGAGGACAAGGTTCCTGGCGGTGTCCACAAAGTTCCTGGCGTTGAGGACAAGGTTCCTGGCGGTGAGGACAAGGTTCCTGGCGGTCAGGACAAAGTTCTTGGCGGTGAGGACAAGCTTCTTGGCGGTGAGGACAACCCTCTCGGGGGTGAGAAGAAGTTTTCTGGCTGTGAGGACAAGGTTTCTGGCGGTGAGGAGAAGGTTCCTGGAGGTGAGGAGAAGGTTCCTGGCGGTGAGGACAAGGTTCCTGGCGGTGAGGACAAGGTTCCTGGCGGTGAGGACAACGCTCCTGGGGGTGAGAACAAGTTTCCTGGCTGTGAGGACAATGTTCCTCGCGGAGACGACAAGGTTCCTGGCGGTGAGGACAAGGTTCCTGGCGGTGAGGACAAGGTTTCTGTCTGTGAAAAAAGTTCCTGGCGCTGAGGACAAGGTTCCTACCGGTGAGGACAGGGTTCCTGCCAGTGAGGACAAGGTTCCTGGCGGTGAGGACAAGGTTCCTGCCGGAGAGGACAGGGTTCCTGGCGGTGTGCTCAAGGTTCCTGCCGGAAAGGACAAGATTCATGCCTGTTAGGACAAGGCTGCTGGCGGTGAGGACAAGGTCCCTGTCGGTGAGGAGAAGGTTCAATTCCTGGCCGTGAGGACAAGGTTCCTGGCGGTGATGACAAGGTTCCTGGCTGTGAGGACTAGGTTGCTGGCGGTGAGGACAAGGTTTCTGGCTGTGAAAAAAGTTAAAACGCTGAGGACAAGGTTCCTAACGGTGAGGACAAGGGACCTGGCGGTGAGGACAAGGTTTCTGGGGGAGAGGACAGGTTTCTTGCCGGTGAGAACAAGGTTCATGCCTGTGAGGACAAGGTTCCTGGCGGTGAGGACAAGGTTCCTGGCGGTGAGGGCAAGGTTCCTTGCGGTGGGGACAAGGTTTCTGCCCATGAAAAAAGTTCCTGACGCTGAGGACAACGTTCCTACCGGTGAGGAGCAAGTTCCTGGCGTTGAGCACAAGGTTCCTGCCGGTGAGCACAAGGTTTCCGGCGGTGAGCTCAAGGTACCTGCCAGTGAAGACAAGGTTCCTGCCGGTGAGGGCAAGGTTCCTGGCGGTAAGAACAAGGTTCCTGGCGCTGAAGACAAGGTTTCTGGCGGCGAGGACAAGGTTCCTGCCGGTGAGAACAAGGTTCATGCCTGTGAGGACAAGGCTCCTGGAGGCGAGGACAAGGTTCTTGGCGGTGAGACCAAGGTTCCTGGCGGTGAGAACAAGGTGAATTCCCGTGAGGACAAGGTTCCTGGCGGTGAGTACAAGGTTCCTGGCGCTTTGGACAAGGTTCCTGGCGGTGAAGACAAGGTTTCTGGCGGCGAGGAGAAGGTTTCTGGGTGTGAAAAAAGTTCCTGACGCTGAGGACAAGTTTCCTACCGGTGAGGAGCAGGTTCCTGGCGGAGAGGACAAGGTTGCTGGCGGTGAGAACAAGGTTTCTGGCGGTGAGCATAAGTTTCCTGACGGTGAGGACAAGGTTCCTGTCGGTGAGGACAAGGTTCCTGGCGGTGAGGACAAGGTTCCTGGCGGTGAGTACAAGGTTCCTGGCGGTGAGAAAAAGGTTCCTGGCGGTGAGGACAAGGTTCCTGGCGGTGAGGACAAGATTCCTGGCGGTGAGGACAAGGTTCTTGGCGGTGAGGACAAGCTTCCTGCCGGTGAGAACAAGGTTAATGTCTGTGAGGACAAGGTTCCTGGCGGTGAGGACAAGGTTCCTGGCGGTGAGGGCAAGGTTCCTGGCGGTGAGGACAAGGTTTCTGGCTGTGAAAAAAGTTCCTGACGCTGAGGACAAGGTTCCTACCGGTGAGGAGCAAGTTCCTGGCGGTGAGCACAAGGTTCCTGGCGTTGAGCACAAGGTTTCTGACGGTGAGCACAAGGTTCCTGTCGGTGAGGACAAGGTTCCTGGCGGTGAGGGCAAGGTTCCTGGCGGTGAGAACAAAGTTCCTGGCGCTGAAGACAAGGTTTCTGGCGGCGAGGACAAGGTTCCTACCGGTGAGAACAAGGTTCATGCCTGTGATGACAAGCCTCCTGGCGGTGAGGACAAGGTTCCTGGCGGTGAGGACAAGGTTCCTGGCGTTGAGGACAACGTTCCTGGCGGTGAGGACAAGATTTCTGGCTGTGAAAAAACTTCCTGACGCTGAGTACAAGGCTCCTACCGGTGAGGACAAGGTTCCTGCCAGTGAGGACAAGATTCCTGGCGGTGAGGACAAGGTTCCTGACGGTGAGGACAAGGTTGCTGGCGGAGAGCACAAGGTTTCTGGCGGTGAGCACAAGGTTGCTGCCGGTGTGGACAAGGTTCCTGGCGGCGAGGACAAGGTTCTTGGCGGTGAGGCCAAGGTTCCTGGCGGTGAGGATAACGCTCCTGGCGGTGAGGATAACGCTCCAAACGGTGAGAAAAAGGTTCCTGGCGGTGAGGACAAGGTTCCTGGCGGTGTGCACAAAGTTCCTGGCGTTGAGGACAAGGTTCCTGGCGGTAAGGACAAGGTTCCTGGCGGTGAGGACAAGGTTCTTGGCGGTGACGACAAGCTTCCTGGCGGTGAGGAAAACCCTCCCTGGGGTGAGAAGAAGTTTTCTGGCTGTGAGGACAAGGTTCCTGGCGGTGAGGACAAGGTTCCTGGAGGTGAGGAGGCGGTTCCTGGCGGTGAGGACAAGGTTCCTGGCTGTGAGGACTAGGTTGCTGGCGGTGACGACAAGGCTTCTGGCTGTGAAAAAAGTTCCTGACGCTGAGGACAAGGTTCCTAACCGTGAGGACAAGGGACCTGGCGGTGAGGACAAGGTTTCTGAGGGAGAGGATAGCGTTCTTGCCGGTGAGAACAAGGTTCATGCCTGTGAGGACAAGGTTCCTGGCGGTGAGGACAAGGTTCCTGGCGGTGAGGGCAAGGTTCCTGGCGGTGAGGACAAGGTTTCTGCCCGTGAAAAAAGTTCCTGACGCTGAGGACAAGGTTCCTACCGGTGAGGAGCAAGTTCCTGGCGTTGAGCACAAGGTTCCTGCCGGTGAGCACAAGGTTTCTGGCGGTGAGCACAAGGTACCTGCCAGTGAGGACAAGGTTCCTGCCGGTGAGGGCAAGGTTCCTGGCGGTGACAACAAGGTTCCTGGGGTTGAAGACAAGGTTTCTGGCGGCGAGGACAAGGTTCCTGCCGGTGAGAACAAGGTTCATGCCTGTGAGGACAAGGCTCCTGGCGGCGAGGACAAGGTTCTTGGCGGTGAGACCAAGGTTCCTGGCGGTGAGAACAAGGTTAATGCCCGTGAGGACAAGGTTCCTGGCGGTGAGGACAAGGTTCCTGGCGGTGAGGACAAGGTTCCTGGCGGTGAAGACAAGATTTCTGGCGGCGAGGAGAAGGTTTCTGGCTGTGACAAATGTTCCTGACGCTGAGGACAAGTTTCCTACCGGTGAGGAGCAGGTTCCTGGCGGAGAGGACAAGGTTCCTGGCGGTGAGAACAAGGTTTCTGGCGGTGAGCATAAGGTTCCTGACGGTGAGGACAAGGTTCCTGTCGGTGAGGACAAGGTTCCTGGCGGTGAGGACAAGGTTCCTGGCGGTGAGTACAAGGTTTCTTGCTGTGAGGACAAGGTTTCTGGTGGTGTGGACAAGGTTTCTGGCAGTGAGGACAAGGTTCCTGGCGGTGAGGACAAGGTTCCTGGCGGTGAGGACAAGGTTCCTGGCGGTGAGGACAAGGTTCCTGGCGGTGAGGACAAGGTTCCTGGCGGCGAGTACAAGGTTCCTGGCGGTGAGGACAAGGTTCCTGGCGGTGAGGTCAAGGTTTCTGGCGGCCAGGACAAGTAAAGGTTCCTGCCGGTGAGAACAAGGTTAATGCCTGTGAGGACAAGGTTCCTGGAGGTGAGGGCAAGGTTCCAGGCGGTGAGGGCAAGGTTCCTGCCGGTGAGGACAAGGTTTCTGGCTGTAAAAAATGTTCCTGACGCTGAGGACCAGGTTCCTACCGGTGAGGAGCAAGTTCCTGCCGGTGAGCACAGGGTTCCTGGCCGTGAGCACAAGGTTTCTGGCGGTGAGCACAAGGTTCCTGCCGGTGAGGACATGGTTGCTGCCGGTGAGGGCAAGGTTCCTAGCCGTGAGAACAAGGTGCCAGGCGGAGAGGACAAGGTTCTTGGCGGTGAGAATAAGGTTCCTGGCGTTGAGGACAAGGTTGCTGGCGGTGAGGACAAGGTTGCTGGCAGTGAGGACAAGGTTCCTCGTGCTGAGGACAAGGTTCCTCACGCCGAGGACAAGGTTGCTCACGCTGAGGACAAGGTTCGTGACGCTGAGGACAAGGTAACTCAGACTGAGAACAAGGTTCCTCCTGCTGAGGACAGGATACCTCACGCTGCGGACAAGGTTCCTCACGCTTAGGACAAGGTTCCTCACGCTGACGACAAAGTTCCTTACGCTGAGGACAAGGTACCTCACACCGAAGACAAGGTACCTCACACTGAGGACAAGGCTCGTCACGCTGAGGACAAGGTACCGCACACTGAGGAAAAGGTACCTCACACTGAGGTCAAGGTTCCTCACGCTGAGAACAAGGTTCCTCAAGCTGAGAACAAGTTACCTCACACTGAGGACAATTTACCTCACACTGAGGACAAGGTTGCTCACGCTGAGTACAAGGTTCCTCACGCTGAGGACAAGGTTCGTCACGCTGAGGACAAGGTTCCTCAAGCTGAGGACAAGGCACATCACACTGAGGTCAAGGTTCCTCACGCTGAAGACAAGGTACCTCGTACAGAGAGCAAGGTTCCTCACGCTTAGGACAAGGTTCCTCACGCTGAGGACATGGTTTCTCACGCTGAGGACAAGGTTCCTCACGCTGAGCACTAGGATCCTAACGCGGAGGACAATGTTCCTCACGCCGAAGACAATGTTCCTCACGCTGAGGACAAGGTATCTCACCCTGAGGACAAGGTACGTCACGCTGAGGACAAGGTTTCTCACGCTGAGGACAATGTACCCCACGCTGACGACAAGGTTCCTCACGCTGAGGACAAGGTTCGTCACGCTGAGGACAAGGGAGCTCACGCAGAAGACAAGGTTCCTTACGCTGAGGACAAGGTTCCTCACGCTGAGAACAAGGTTCCTCACGCTGAGCACAAGGTCCCTAACGCTGAGGACAAGGTTCCGCACGCGGAGGACAAGGTTCCTCACGCTGAGGACAAGGTCCCTGACCCTGAGGACAAGGTTCCTCACGCTGAGGACAAGTTTCCTCACGCTGATGAGAAGGTTCCTCACGCTGAGCACAAGGTTCCTCACGCTGAGGACAAGGTACCTCACCCTAAGAACCTTTCAAATTCAAATTAGCTATAACGTATTGTAGTAATTTGACAGCTCTAATTGCTTTGAATTAATGGTTGGGTACGCAAGGTCTTGTACTCATGGGACGAAACTCAAAGAAATAAAAATTAGAAAATTTAGAAGTTTTTAAGAGTTTTGTCCCATGAATACAAGACCTTGTGTTCTTACGCAACCATTAATTCAAAGCAATTAGAGCTGTCAAATTACTACAATACGTTATAGCTAATATGAATTTGAAAGGTTCAGTTTTTTTATACACCCTGTATAGATAATGAAGGTTAACGAGGTTTATCATCTCATCTACTGTATGTTTAAATTATTGCATTCGACGCGACCAAAATTCGACATATAAAACAAGCCTAAATTTAAAACCGGTTTTCCACTGGCGAATTTTCTCGCGCGAAAAGACCTTTTTCCTTTGTCGGTATCACCTTATTACGTCAGCAAGACGTGGCAAAATGATGTCGACAAAGGAAAAAGGACGCTTCGCTAGGCGAAATTTTCCGCGCGGAGCGGAATTTTTCTTTGTCTTGTCAAATTTGTCTGGTGGAACTAATTAGAAAAAACAAAAAGAAATTCCGCTCCGCGCGGAAAATTCCGCCTAGTGGAAAACTGCCTTTAAGGCCGTTTTCCATTAGGCGGAATTTTCCGCGCGGAGCGCAATTTGTCTTTTTCTTTTCTAATTAGTTCCACCCGAGAAATCACAAGACAAAGAGAAATTCCGCTCCGCGCGGAAAATTCCGCCTAGTGGAAAACAGCCTTAAGACGCTTGCTTTAAATTCACAAGAGCAGAAACCGTGAGTTTTACAAAGATATTTTAATTTCTTAATAAGTCAATGTTTATAATATATTGACCCTGCCAATATTTTACGCATCCTCTGCCAGTTTGCGTTCAGCTAATAGGGCATCAAACTCTAACAGAATACGTTATTTCACTAATAGTTTTGGGTTTTTGGGACATCCTGTATAATGATGAAAACATGTCATGCCAAAAGCGTGGGCTTTATTATTATGAAAAAATTAAATTCATATATACCGAGTAATTAATTAACTCACAATGGTATGCTAAAGTTGGATCGCGTTTTTTTGAGACAACACAGTATATCAGGTAATTATTCATACACAAATATTTTTCACACAATAACTTTGTCGGCACAGCGCTGTCAACCAGGTCCGCCGAGAGGTTGGCTGAAAATTTTTTTTTCGGAGAACAACCCCCCCCCCCGTCAACAACTTTTTAGGTTAAAAAGTTTTCCGTACGAGTACGTTGCAATTGCTTCCCAGGGACTTTATCTCATTTTTTATGCCAAATTTCGGTACTTAGCCCAAAAACAGATATCTTGTCCTTTTCGCGGAAATATTTTACACACAAAACAGACTGGGGCCCAACAAAAAATTTTCAGGGGCCCCCAGCACCTCGGGGCCCAGGGCAATTCCCCCCCCCCCACCCTGTCGCCCTCTCTGCGGCTCTGCTGTCAACATTGCCTTAAAGGTGTTTTTACTGAAATCTAGCGTCTAAGGCATCCCTCACTTCCTTCTCTCATAAACCACCCTTAACCTGCCTTAGGAAAAATTATGCCTGCAGAAACGTTTCGTGCGTGGAAATTTTTCACCCATGCTTGCTTTTTAAATTTTATTTCAGCAATGAACAATTTATTATTAGTTAATTATAATGTCCAGTATTGGTCACACAACCACATCAGCTATGCTGTATTATATAATACCTTATTAAATTCTAATCGTTTAATTGGCTGTTTATGGTCACGTGATACTGAATAGAAAATTCCATTTCCCAAGAGTGCAATGGAACATTCCATCTTTCACCTCATGAAAATATTCTTACCATTGCACTCATAAACATTCATTATTTGTATAATATTATCGTGTTTAAATAAATGCTTTTATTATTATTATTATTATTATTATTATTATTATTATTATTATTATTATTATTATTATTATTATTATCAAAACATCCAGAAAGGTTTCACTCCAAAACTCTCAGGAACACTAGAACATACTGCTCAGATGGCACATATAATTAACACAGCGCGTACCAAGCAACGATCTATAGTTATTACATTACTCGATCTTAAAAATGCATTTGGCGAAGTCCATCATAACCTCATTTACGAAGTCCTTGATTATCATCACGTTCCTAATCACATAAAGAACCTTATCTGCAGTCTTTACACTGATTTCCAAACTTCCATCATAACCGAACAGTTTAACACCCCCTTCACTACAGTCGGTCGTGGCGTTCTTCAAGGCGATTGTCTCAGTCCACTTTTATTCAACATGTCATTCAATACTTTTATACAACATATTAAATCTGAAAAATACCGTCAGCTTGGATTTTGGAAATTAAGTGAAATTGGCATTCCGTGCAATCCTATACATTGGTTTCAGTTTGCAGACGATGCTGCTGTCATCAGTAGCCAAGAGAAAGAAAATCAAATGCTCCTTAATCGTTTTACAATCTGGTGTCAATGGGCTAATATGATTATACGCGTTGACAAATGTTCAACATTTGGCATTAAAAAACACTTAACTAAATCTATCCAGTATTTACCCAAGCTTTTCGTTAATAACGATCTTGTACCCAGAACCAAAATGGGCAAATCTTTCCGTTACTTAGGTCGCTATTTCGATTTCAATATGTCTGATGAGGAACACAAATGAACTACCTTTACACCCGAAAAATAAAATTCTACTATACAGTCGTTACTTGCTGTCAAAGATATCCTGGGACTTCACTGTTTCTGATATATCTAAGACCTGGATCTGCAAAACATTAGACAGTATTGCGACAAAATATATCCGAAAATGGCTGGAACTTCCTGTCTCTGCAACCCTTAGCAACGTGTAGCTTCCACAAAACAAATTTGGTCTGAATATTATTCTCCCTTCGACAAAATTTATCCAATGTCAAACTGTCTCTCGATCAGCTTTAAAATATTCACCAAACGTAGATATTAACAATCTATGGGCGGTGACGAGCACCAACAAGAACATACAGTATGACATTTACAAAGACACAAAAGACGTACTTAAGGCAGTTAGAAAAGAAAACGAACAAAGACTTCAAAACCACCTCATTTCGCAAGGTTCTTTCTTTTCCAGTATCATGAATCATTCCACATCCACATTCAACTCTTTATGGTCATCCGTTCAGAGCAAACTTCCGAAAAACATTTTTAACTTCACCATCCGATATATCAATAACACCCTTCCAACACGAAAGAACCTATCAAAATGGGGACTATCATCAACATCCGATTGCTCTTTCTGCTCCTCACCTGAAACGCTGCTCCATGTGATTGCTGGATGTAAGACATATTTAGACGAAGGCCGGTTTACATGGCGACACGAGTCTGTTTTAAATTTCCTCGCATCCACTCTTACTGCTGTGAAAAATTCCACACTTTACGCGGACATTCCTGGTTTTATGAATCCATCTGTTATCACGGGAGATCGTTTACGACCTGACCTTCTGCTGGTGACTGAAAACAGATGTCTATACATCCTCGAGCTTACAGTCGGTTATGAATCCAATCTGCTAGTTAACGCCAATCGTAAGCGTCAAAAGTACCGTGATCTAATCAATGAGCAGGAAGCAGATTATGATAAAGTCAAGTTCGTCAATTTAACCTTGAGTACCCTCGGAGTTTTTGGCCGATCTTGTGAAAATTTCGATGGCATGCTAAGTAGCCTTAAATGTGATGCCAAGTATAGTAAATACATAAAAAAGCAAATCGTGAACATATGCATACGAACATCATATTATGTATTTTGTAAACGAAACAAGGTGTGGGATAACCCAAAATTAATGTTAATATAATCCTTCTTAAAATAATTATTGTACAATAAATATATAGTATCAATTCAAGTAGACATTGATAAACTAGCTGTAAAGCGAGGTTTATCATTGTAGTTGTATATATCCTAATAATCAATAAATAAAGTTTCCATTATTATTATTATTATTATTATTATTATTATTATTATCATTATCATTATCATTATCATTTCCATATATTTTGTTCAATTTTAAGTGATGTTTTTTGCTTTAGTACAATTTAGTTGTAGGCTTTTAACGCTAATAGTCGTTGATAAGTATGAATATTATTACCTATTTTGTAATGCGACAGAAAATTGCAACGTTAGTGTCATTAGCGGAACAAACGAGGCAAACTAAATTCTGGGCGTATATGTTTATCTGACTTGTTTTGGTTTTCGGAACGATATGAAGCGGAACGTTTAGTGCCGTCATTGTTTGGGGGAACAAAAACTCTGTTCCTTTTATAAAGGAACAAACTAAAGCGGAACAGCTCATTCTTTTTTACACTTGAGGAACCATTCGTTCCGTTGCACGAGAAAGGAACGAAAACACGTTCCTATTTTCGGAACTAAAGTTTTAAGTTGCAATATAACGCGAGATAGGAACAAGAATATACGTTCCTATTTTCGGAACTAAACCCAAAAGTTTTGCCCAATAATTAGCATGCAACCTTTCCTCAGCAAAGTCAGTTTTCGATTATTTGATTATTTGATTATTTTAACATAGTGAAGAGCAGTAATATATTGTGTTGTTCTCCATGAAGTATATTATATATTGACGAGAGTTGCACTGTTGTATATGAAAGAGATTATACCTTAAATGGATTTGCGGTTTGTGAAAACTTTATGCTTCAACATGATTTATAAATTAGACTGATCAACTATTTTCAAAGCAAACATATTATACGTGTTATAGTCGCAGGAATAGAAAATAAGGCAACCGAGAATACATTTAGTTTTGCGTGGAATCGTGTAAGAAAGATTAATAAGCAATAGAACTTCACAAATTTTATTCAACTATTCACAAAGCAAATTTATATTTACAAGGTACACGAGTGAAATACACTACATAAGTTTTTGTTGAATTGCACGAAGTCTAAGTGACCTAGCTTCTCTACCAGTTGGAAGTTATATTCTGTATGTCGTAGGATTGTGCACCATCGTGCACCAAATCTTTTAATTCCCCTTTCTATAAATTGATCCTCTTCTTTCGTGAATCTCAGGGGTTTGCGTTTCTCGGCAGAAACCTTTTCTGTCGTTGTTTGTGGTATGGGAGTGGTTTCGTTATCACTTTTTGATTTGTGTTCGGAACAATGTTCTTGTTTTAACTGTTCAACGCAAGTGTCCATTTCTGCTCCGTGTAAGCCACGCAATTTTTCCATACATGTTCGCCCTTTGATAGCTACATCTCGAGAACGCAATTTCTGATAATGGACTCGGGCGACATTCGAACTGTGTTTTTGATCTTCAGAAACCAACTTCTGCTCCTCTACATTGAGGATTTGCACACTTTCAGTTTCAATGATTTGCCTGTATCTTGTGGGATGAACGTATTTTCCGATTGCCTGAAAGACTAATATACTTAGATTTCTGTTAATTTTTGAAATTGAATGCCATTACGATTGACGAGCAAATAGTCGCACCTTGGTTGCAGCAATGGCCTAACATAGCGAACGTAATTGTCAACAACATCCAAACTAATTTCGTCAAAATATAAGGAATCAAAGCCATACTTTTTGGCAGTTTTGAATGTGGTTTGATCGACCATTCCTTTATTTCGTTTTGCACTCTCAAACATGCTAACCGTCAAATGCAGATACGTCATAGGCCTACAGCCTTTAACTTTAAAAAACATAAATACTGCTAGGAATCGGGTAGCAAATGTAAGATTCGTTGCGCTAACAACAGGCGATTTGTTTTTGCATTCGTCCAATATAATCTTATAACGTGGTATATGGAAGGGTATCACAGTTTGGAGTTCGGCTAAGCTTGCCAAACTCCGTCTTAATTCAAGTGTTTCTATGTCAAGATCTGTCGTCCAGTGCGACCTCATTACTTTTGACAAACATTTCTTTGCTCTCTTGATGTAAACTTCAGTAACAGAGAAATTTTGCAGTACGGCGCCGGAGGGAAAGTCAAACTTTCGAAAATCTAACAGCTCAGATATGCTTGTTATGTAACCTAATTGGCCGGAATTTCCCATTTTCCAAGTACCCTGAAGATAATCAAGGAAACCCGTTAACAACTTCGAAGAACCAAGAAAATAATCTATAATTTCTAAAGACGAAGTCGCATTCAATTCGTCCTCGCCCGTTTCAGAACAACAAAATGTTATAAACTTGAGAGCCCTTGTCACTGAAATTTGTGATTGCTTTTCAGACTTGCCTCCCCCAGCCGTACTTTGTAACCACACCGAAAGGGAACGACATAAATCATTTTCCGTAGAACAACAAGGAATTGTATGTTTGGTTTTTGATGTGATTACATTGCCTTTTTCTTCAACAGTATTCAGGGCCGTCGCGAGCGGGGGGGTGTGGGGGGGGTGCTTCACCCCCCCAATAATTCTCGCAAGTCGGCCCCAGTCGGCAAATTGCTTCGTTACTGTTCGGCAAATTGCGAATTCGGCCATTCAGCAAATTGTAAAAGTTAAGAACGAAGGCGATAAATAAAGCAATAAATTTTGGATTTAAAATAATGGTTTGTGTGGCCTTATACCATTTAAATGTATTTCTATTTTCTAGTAATAATATTAGTCTTTTATTTGTCGAAAATCGACGGGAGGCTGAAATGTGAAACCCACGTTTCCGGGCATGTTCTTCGCTCGACTGCTCTCAAAGCGAAGGCTCTTTATCAATTTTGCGCGGTTCAAAACCCAAAAGAAAAAGAATACAACTTTAGTGTCTTGAATGTAATTCGATTTTTGACGACTATAGAAACTTTATTATTTATTTCACGAGGGAAAACGTATTAACCATAAAAGTTATCTAATATACGGCCCGACGATTACCGTAAGAGGCACGAGCAAACTTGCCATAAGGGAAACAGAGTGCGAGTAGCACATAAAGACGTACCAGCTAATCCGTTTGAGACTGCAAAGCGCAGTCAAAGTCAAAGCCAAAGAGAATATTTTGAGTCGTCAGAGGCGCAAGATTCTCAAGAAGACTCCACAGGCACATGAGAAGAAGACCAAGAGAAAGACGAGCCATGCCACTGATAAGAACGGACTTGTCTTCTTTAGTTCTTTAGCGAAATTACTGTTAACTCTGATCAGCCTACAGTTTTGAAAGACATACCGCATACAGCGATCGGTATCATCGATCGGTTGCATATGATCATATCCGTTTTACTCGCTTTCTGACGCATAAAATTTAAACTCTTGGAAAATCGGGTCGTACAAAAGCCCAGGTTAACACTATCCGGCACTAAGAGTTTTAAGACTGCTCAAAATACAAAAGAATATTATAAATTGTCTGTTCGGCGCCTGGGGATAAAAAAGGTCAAATTCATCAAATTGCCATGAAAATATTGAAATAAAATATCAATGCAATCACATGCAGATACTTGCATGGATACCCTGGTTCCAGAGGTTTATTCTTATTATTTTCATTGTGAAGGGGAGAGGAAAAATAAACCTCTGGTTGAAAGCGGCAATTGATTCATTGAGCTGCGCCAATCAGTTTGAATTAGGGTCAGATCCTGACTCTGTCTCCTGACTGGATGATTGTATTAAAGTTCTCTGATTGGTTCAAATAGAACATCTATAACCAATCAGAGAGCTTTAATACGATCATCCAATCAGGAGACAGGGTCAGGATCTGACCCTAATTCAAACTGATTGGCGCGGCTCAATGAATCAATTGCCGCTTTCAATCAGAGGTTTATTTTTGCTCTCCCCTTCGCAATGAAAATAATAAAAATAAACGTCTGGAACCAGGGTAATACTTGGATAACTTTTCTGACTTTGCGGAGATGCGCGTCTGAACCACAGTCTAAGAAACTCGTTACTCAGAGTCTCAGACTATATAATGCACACGGTACCGTTTCCGAGCGTTTTTCGGTTTTTGGTTGTAATTAATGCGTTAATTTCTGAAACTGAAAGTACCATTTTCACGTACGTTCTGTTCACACGAAAACGTATGACAACGACGTCAGGAAGCAAAAACGTTGCAAATAGTGAAAACGATGCCAAACATTCGTTCTCTATGTTTGAAACGTTTGGTCGTTTTGGCACTTTGTTATAGTGTAAACAGAAAAGTAGAAGGCGAAAATGAAATTCCGTGTTTGAATTTGGAAATGAAGACTATAAAAAACTAGTGCTTTGTCAGAAAATGTTGCGAGAAAAACGATCAATGTGAACAAGGCGCCTAAACGCTAAATTTTGAAAACGGCACTGCAAAAACGCTCAAAAACGTGACCCGTGTGCACATAGTCCAGCTTTATATGTTTAGTATAAAGCAACAACCCACGAACAGGCATCCATTTCCCTCAGTTACTAGCACACCAATATGATTCTCATTACCTATATATCTAACCTTTACAAACTTTTGAAAAACTCGGCAAATTCAACTAGCGTCACTCGGCAATTTGACCTTCGACCCCCTCCCCCAATCCATATCCCTTCGCAACGGCCCTGGAACGGGCATACTCATTACGAGCTGTATGGCTTGCGGAGGAGGTAGGGAGTGTGCTGTGCAAGATATGTAACTTGTAGGAAATCTGCAACTCAAAATTACCACAAGGTGTTGTGGAAGCACAACCGACAAAAAGGTTACTGAGCATTTCCGATCGCGCACGACCACAAGGCCTACAGCTGCGGTAAACAATGGTTTTAAGATAAAATTCCCCCATATAATAATTGTAAATTTGGTTCAGGCTCGCTCGCTCCGCAGCAAAAAAGGTTGGGTGAAATACAATTGTCATTTTCCCGAAAAGTAAAGAAAAATGTCTAACTCGAAGTTTAACTCGAAGTCCAACTCGAAGTCCAACTCGAAGCCCAACTCGAACTCCAACGCGATGTTACCTAACTCCCCGTTATAATATAATTAGTGACGTGAAAATGAAATGTGTCATGCAACAATGACAATAAAGCTAATAAAAGTAAAAATAAAATTAGTGACGTAGCAATAAAATTAATGACGGAACAGTCAAATTAATGATGTCATAATAATTAGTGACGAAATAATGAAATTTTCAAGTAACAGTCACAGTAAATGTAAACTCGTCAAACTAGTGACGTATCAAATTAGTCACATCATAATATAATTAGTGATGTAATAATGAAACTTGTCACTTTATAATGACAATAAAAGTCAGTAAAAATCAAATTAATGACGTCGCAAACAAATCAGGGACGTCACAATATAATTAGTGACGTAATAATTGTCAACAATTAAATTAACAATCAAATTAGTGAGGTTTCAATAAAATCAGTGACATAACAGTCAAATTAGTCACCTCATAATATAATTAGCCATGTAATAGTGACATTTGTCATGTAACAATAACTATTAAAGTAAATACCAAATTAGTGACGTAGTAATAACATAAGTGTCATAACAGTCAAATTATGACTCATACGATAACAAAGAAATTAAAAATCAAATTAGTGATGTAGCAATAAAATTAGTGGCGTCATAACATAACCAGTGATGTAATAATGAAATATATTGTGTAATAATAACAATTGAACGTATCAATAAAATCAGTAGCATGATAGTCAAAGTATTGACCTTATAATATAGTTAGTGATGTAATAATGAAATTTGTTATGTAACATTGACAAATTAGTGACGTAACAATAAAACTAGAGAGTAGAGACGTCACAAAATAATTAGTGACGTAATATTGAAATTTGTTATGTATGAAGTAAATTGCGCAATGTCGGAAATTAGTCCTCTGGGAACTTTGCCCGGGGTGATGTAATTCCGGGGACGAATGTAACGAACACGTTGTTGATCGAAAACCTTAGCGAAGCGTGAACTACATATCAGATTATACTTGTAAATTTATTTTTGTTTTATTATATATTTTATTAATTTTGTGATTGTGTTGTGAAGACCCGTTTCCAACATAAGTGGCGTCCCTCGGGTGGGCAGAAATCAGCTCACAAATCATGGAATCAATCGAAAATTTGAGCAAGAATATCGAGACGAAACTCAGGCTCATTAAGTTCACGCAAGAACAAGCAGAGAAATCAGTCGAAACAAACAATGTTTTAGCCATGGAGCGACAGATTAAGACCTTAACAATGAAGGTAGGCGAAGTTCATGATATTAAAGTTAAAATTCAAGAGTTAAAAATCGAAAACGGTGAAAATATCGAAGATATACAGACATGGAATGCAGCGTTGGAAGATAAATTATTCGCCATCGAAGCACAAATTGCTGACCTCGACAATTCCTTAAAACGGATCGGTCAAAAGGCGATCGAAGCTGAGAAACTTAGGAAGAAATGGCAGCGCAATCTCGACAAAGGAAGTTCGAAGATGAACTAAAACTTGAAAAAGTTAAGCTAGAACAGCGAATGAGATATGAAAAGAAGCTAGAAGAGAGTCGAAGTGTCTCAACCCCAAATCGACCAAATACAACCAAGTTACCTAAGCTGGTGATTTCCAAATTCAACGGTAACTACACAGACTGGACAAGATTTTGGGAACAATACGAAGCAGGAATTGGTGCAACTGACATTTCAAATGTTACAAAATTTTCATACTTGAAGGAACTATTAGAACCTAAGGTACGAGCATTAGTTGATGGATTACCGCTGACCACAGAGGGTTTCGAGAGGGCGAAGAATATTCTGAAAACTAAGTACGGTAAAGAAAGCGAAATTGTTAATGCATATATTAGCAACATTATGGCACTTGAACCAGTTCATGGAACAAATCCAAACAAGATTTCTATTTTCTATGAAAAATTACTAGCAAATGTACAAGCATTGGAGACTTTGGGTCGAATCGGAGAAGTGAATGGGTATGTGCGCATGACATTGGATAAGCTGGAAAGTATACGTGGAGATTTGGTGCGTACAGATGATGACTGGCAAAGCTGGAAATTCCCCAATCTTATCGAAGCATTGCGACAGTGGACAGAACGGAACCCACCAAGACATGAAGACAAAACTGAGAGAAAACCAAAAGATCCTAGGGCTCGAAGCTTTCATGCAAGGGACAGAGAGGTGCAACCAAGACCGTGTGTTTATTGC